GATTTCCCCATTTTCAAAATCATAGAAAAACAACTAACTTTTTAGCAGAGAAATCTGCAGATTTCCTGCTTTTGCAAAGAACTCTGCAGGCAGGCTGAGTTCCAGCCTGCAAGAGCTAATTGCAAGAAGGGCAGGAACCCCCCAACCCTGCCTGGAGCAGGAGGAAGAGGGAAGGGCGGGCCTGAGACTATCTCACCCAAGGCTGGGCTCAGGCTCACTTTCCTTCCTGGAGCCTGTAAGGTAAGTGGGGCTTGTAGGGAGCTGGGGGGCACTGGCAGGGCTGGGAAGGAAGCTGGCTGTGGGCTGAGGGAGCAGGGAGGTGTTAAGGAAAGACATGGAGTGCCCACCCGGCCAGCAGCACGTGGACCACAAGGAGCGCAGTATCAGACCGAGTGCACCTCCATGTGCAGCTTCCCCAAAGGGCCAATAGCATGCCGCTCTGGGTCCACACACTGCCAGCTGGGTGGGCACTGTTGCAGGAAGCTAGCTGGTGGTTGAGGGAGTGGGAAGTTGTTGGGGAAGCCCCACATGAAGTGCCTGCCCGGCTGGCAGCATGTGGACCCAGAGCGGTGTGCCATCAGGCCTTCAGGGAAGCCGCACAGTGCACACCCCCCTGCCCAGATCTGGGGGATGTGGGTATCCCCCCTGCCCCACAGAAGTCCGCACTGCTGCCGGGACCTGGCCCCACCCAAGCCTGCAGCAGTGGTGTAGAAACCAGCTCTGTGCTCCTTCTGCTGCAGCAGCCACTGCCTTCTGTTAGAGAGAGGAAGCTGCAGCCCTGGGTCCCTGGCCCCATAGCCCTGGCAGCTGGGGGCCCCCTCTGGCAGGGCTGGGAGGGGGGTTGAGGGGCCTTTAATTTTAATCATGGATTTTGGGAATTAAAGAGTAAAAAAAGGCAAGATCCCTGCTCATCAGTCATTACAGATAAATCTGAGATTGCAACAATAGACATTAGAGTTAAAATTTGTTAACTAAAGATTCTGAAGCAAGTGTCAGAGATTTCATAGATTTTTAGGGTCAGAAGGGGCCTCAGTAGATTGAGTCCGATTTCCTGCCCTGGGTAGGAAAGTGTGCTGGGGTCTGATAACCCCAGCCAGGTGCTTGTCCAGTCTCCTCTTGAAGACCCAAAGGTAGGGGAGAGCACCACTTCCCTTGCAAACCCATTCCAGATTCTGGCAACCCTTATTGTGAAGAAGTTCTTCCTGATGTCCAACCTAAATCTGCTCTCTGTCAGTTTGTGGCCATTGTTTCTAATTATCCCAAGGGGTGCCCTGGTAAACAAAGCATCTCCTATTCCTTGGTCCCCCCACCCCCAATGAATTTGTAGACAGCCACAAGATCACCTCAGCCTTCTCTTGCAGAGGCTGAAAGAGATCCAGGTCCCTCAAATCTCTCCTTGTAGGCCTGCAGGCCCCTAGCCATATGAGTAGCCCTCCTCTGGACCATCTCAAGGTTATCCATGTCCTTGAAGTGCGGCGCCCAAAACTGGACACAGTACTCCAGCTGCGGCCTTACTAATGCCACAGAAGGGAAGCACCACTTCCTTGGACCTGTTTGTGATGCACCTGCTAGACTGTGGTTAACTTTACTTATCACTTTATCCCACTGACTCCTCATGTGGATTTTGAAGCCCACTATGACTCCGAGTTCCCTTTCTGCTGCTGTACTACTTAAAATTGCCAACACACACACACACACAGATTGGGAGATGATCCTTTTTCCCCCACCTAGGTGCAACACTTTGCACTTATCTTTGTTAAACTGCATCCTGTTCTGTTCTGCCCACTTTTCCAACCTGTCCAAATCCACCTGAACCTATTCCCTGCCCACCTGTGTTTACTTTGCCCCATAATTTGGCGCTGTCCGCAAATTTGAACAGAGTTCTCTCCACACCCTCATCCAAGTCACTGATGAAATACTGCTTGTTGCACTAAACACACGACATATTACAGAACCCAAATTTAACAAGACGGGGTTTATATTTACCCATTTGAACTAGAAAAGTACTCACAAGTTCCTTTTTTTATACAAAGGATTTATATAGCCCGTGATCTGCGGGGCCCACCCTGCCAACACTTTAATTCTAGGAAAACTCGTTATTGAAGACAGATCAGGGAAGAGAACCATGTCTGGGAGCAGGTGCTTGAAGGTCTGCACCCCAAGGGGAACAAAGTGCATAAAGGCCAGAACAGAGTCTACATATGCAGGATATTAAAGCCATTTCAGGTATGGCATAAAGGAAGACACCTTGTAAACAAGGACATCAGAGATCACACTGATGAAATAGAGCCCCACAATGCAAACCCTAGATCAGGGGTGGACAATGACTTTGGCTAGAGGACCACTTAATGAGTTCTGGTGAGCTGTCAAGGGTTACATACATAAAATCATTTAAAAGATATCATTTTAACACGTTACAGACAAAAGACAAATCATACACTAAAAAATCAAAAACATCTACCATAACATAACATACTTCAATTTTATTTCAAAAAATAATTTTGTTCCGGTTTGTTTTAGCATATATAGAAGCAATTGCATAATTGCTCAATATAAAATTGTAGTCTTGGGGTGGGGGGTGGCATGTGGAGGACTGCCCCCTCACTAGGTCATGGGAGCCAGCTGGGGAGAAGGAGGAAGAGGGCAGTAGGAGACATGTGCAGCAGAGCTCACCCAGGCAGTGCAGGTGTGGCCCACAGCCGCCTCCACAGTGCTCCACATGGGGCCAAGCCCCATCCCCTCCTGCCTGGGGCAGCCCGTGCTGTGCTCCTGCTCACACCCAGCCCTAGCCCTGGCCAGTGCACTAGTGGAGCTGCTCTCAGCGCAGCTGCAGCAGCCCAGATACTGCTTGGCTCCCCCAGCCTCCAGCAGCTCCTCCTCCCCCTGCTGTATTGCTTCAGGGAAGTACTACAACTGGATGGCTCCTGCTCCCCCTGCTGCCTGGAGGGGCAGGAGGAAGAGGAGCCACTGGAGGTGGGAGAAGCTTCACTTGGGAGCACCCCACTGGGAAGCTCTGAACACTGGGTGGGGCAACACAGCCTGCCCGAGGCAGAAGCGGGCAGGGCTTGGTCCCATGCAGTGTTGCAGGGGCAGCCCCAGGCTACTTCCAATCAATTGGTAGGTGCCTGCCTGCAGGCTGGATCCAATCAGTTGGTGGGCCAGATCTGGCCTGTGGAGAGTATATTCCCCAACCCTGCCCTATAAAAAAACAAAACAAAAACAAGATAAGTCAATTAATCTCTCTTATTAGAAGAGTGGGAAAACAAGATTGTGAAGAGAAATCTGGACAAGCAGGCTAGCTGAATTCCATATTGGCTCCCCAGTTACAGTCAGAGAATGGTAGTGGAAAGCCCCACAAAGAAAGAATTGCAGTAATCAAGTAGAGATCAAACAAACAAACAAACAAACAAAACAATAGACAGAGGTTTCAAGAGCTGACCGACAAAGCATAGAGCCCAGTCTGGCCAAATTCTTAATGCTGCAGCAAAAGCACTTCAGTTATAAAAATTAGCATAACAGGCATCCAAAAGAAGATCCGACTCCAAGGTCATGGACATCAGCTCATTATATGGAGAGAAAGAAGAACCACTAGAGGAAATTGCCACAGATGGCTCCCTATGACCTTTCCTATGCTGTTCAGCAAATCAGAGTAATTCACAACATTGACCCCAACCCCAGAATCGTCTTAGTCACCAAGATTACTGAAGTGAGAAACAGCAACAAGTATTACCTTCAGCTTCATATCACACGAAGGATCTGTGGATGCGTATTAAAAATGTGTGAATGTAAGTTGAAATACACATCCACATAAAGCAATCATCTGTCTCTATAACTTCACTGCTACCAAGCAGATAAACTGCACTTTGATGGGGCCACTAGCATCTATATACGCTTAATAAAGTGCTGGCCATTTAATTTCCATTCCCCTGAACTCCAATGTAAATCCTTTGTGCTACTGATAAAACTCTCTTCTTTAGAGTAGTGCTTAAGAAAGAAAAATCAATAAAACCCTGTGTACTGCAGAAATGACAAGAGATACTGCACTCTGTATTACCTTTGTACAGTATCATTAGGGAAGTCAGCTGTAGGCAAAGGGAATGTCTCACTGGAATTCCCATAGATAACAGACTAGCAAACAACAAATCATCTTGTTGGCATATGGCATCCCACAACCTACACAGATTCTATACAAGGAATTGGGACCCAAAATGAGGGACTTAAAAATAAGAGCAAGAAGCTAATAAAACTTAGCCTTTGAGGGCTTTAAAGTGACTTGCAAACATTAATAGACTGAAAGATACAGGATTTGCTACTTTATATCACCAAGCATTTGTCTGCAAATTGCTTACTATTCTGTTGGTGTAATGTTAATAGTCATAGTTAAAAAGAGACAAGAGTGCTAGTTTTATGTAGTTAGGTCAGTGGTAAACTTGTATTAAAAAAAAACCCAAAGGATGTCTCTTGCTACTAGGCAAGTACACTATCTAAAAGGTTTGTGTGTTCGCATCTGCTGAATGAGAATTTTATTTTCGTGTGTGTGTGCAAACAAAATGAAAAATATCGTCTCATGTCATTTCAAAGCTGTGCAAAACACTGCTTAGTTTTCCCCAAGCTGATGAGTACCCATCCAGCTAAGGACAGTTGTGCAGCTTACACGCCTCCTCCCCTTCTCCCACCCCATTCACATGCAGCCATTTTTACAGGGGGGGATAGCTGGCACAGGGTAGTAGAGAAAGTAAAATTCTATCTTAGGATGCTGGGACAGTGCTCTATTCCTTTGAAAGGACGCTGGATCCTTAGCATCTCTACAGAGCTTGTATGTAAAGGTCACAACCATAAAGATGCTCAAACAACAGACTCCATACAACTCAATTAGTTCCAACACAAAAGAATGGAGTTGATGTTGCTGAGATTTTAACCTGGGTATTACCCTTCAGTCTGAGACAGTAACTACTGTTGGAGAAGTCTAGTTATCATGAATGAGTAGTTTTTGGACTTACCCAGCAATTGGTCCATCTTCTTGCTTACCAGTGGTGTCATCTGCAAATAGAACAAACACCACATGTTAAAACTCAAAAAGAGAAAAGAAGACACAAAAGATTTTTCCCAAAAAGCTGTGTGATCCAGACTACCTGATGAAGGGAAGTGATAACCCAAATGCCATAACACTTTTGTTCCCAAACAAAGCACAAGATTAAACAGAGCAAGCAGAAGTGAAAATATGCATCACTAATTCAGGAAAGGCCTTCAAATGCTAGGACAGGGGTTTTCAACCACCTTTAGTTGAAGTACCCCGAGTGGCCAAACACTGAAACGGGTGGGGGGGGGGAGAGTGTGTGCATGGCTCGACGCTGAGCAGGGAGGTGGGTACGCAGGTGGGCAGGGATGGATCACTGCCACCTCCTAGGAGCAAGGCTGGGGAGGTTCACCAGGCTGGTGTGTGGTGGTGATGGCCACTGCATGCAAGCTTCCCTGCCCCACAGAGGGGCACCACTGCCCTCACCCTGCCCTGGGGCCTGCTCCTGGGAGGTGGTGGCGCTCTGTCCCCATCCACCTGCACATATCCCCTAGGACTGATCCAAGTACCCCAAAGGTACGCGTACCCCCAGTTAACAACCCCTGTGCTAGGACAAAGGATGGAACAAGAGTCAGGAATGTTTATTTCCTCTCCATAAACAGTTTTTATCCATATGTTAAAACATGGCAGAGGAGGAGGAAATTTCGAGGTACCAGAAAACATACCAATGAGAACAAAGAAACAAAATGCCTAAGGGCTCATGGAACAAATATTCAAGGCAGTGGTTCTCACCATTTTCAGACTCGAGGCACCCCTGTCTAGATTCAAGGACCCCCTCGGAAAATGCCAGCTCAGTTTATTCTTTTTTCCCCCCAAACATACAAAATAGAGCAATTCTCCTGTTGGAAAGAACTCCCAGAATCCTAGGGAAGTGGGGCTGGGAGGAACCTCTAGAGCTCACTTACTCCAACCCACTCCCTTGCTTGAGGCAGAATCATTCCTATTCAAACCATCATCTAAACCAGGGGTGGCTGCTTAACAAGTTTTCACAAGTTGTCGGGGGCCACATAGCTAGCCCCACTGGTTGACAGTTGCCCCCCCACCATGGTGTGCAGCCCCAGCTGCCAGCAGCAGCAGGTGGGGAGGTCAGGGTACTTGTCCCTGGCACAGGTGCCCAGTGCGGCATGGCTCCGGCCAGCACTGTGCTCTCTCCCTTGCAGAGTCCAGCACGGGGCTTCCCCGCTGCGAGTGTGGAGCTGCAGGTGGCGGGCATGGAGCCCCTGCGATCAAGGCGATCAGCATTGCACTAGGGACAAGGAGCGCACAGCCTGCCCAACTGCCTCGATCGCAGGGGCTCCGTGCCCCACACCTGCAGCTCCACATTTACAGCAGTGAAGCCCCGTGCTGGACTCTGTGTGGAAGCAGGGGTGGGACTCCCTCCACTCCCGGCAGAGTGCAGGGACCTGCACAGCAGGGAGCAGTGGAGGCAGCAGGCTCCAGTGCAGGGCTTCCCCCACTGCAAGTGGGGAAGTGTAGGACTGTGGCGCAGAGCCCCAGCAATAGAGGTAGCCAGGCAGGCTACGTTGCCTCCCCCTGCACAGTGATGGCCAGAGCCATGCCCCACCGGGCGCCTGCGCAAATGCCCTGACCTCCCCACCTGCTGCTGCTGGCAGCTGGGGCTGCACACCATGGGGGCGGGGGGTGGCCCTATACCCCCCACCCTCACCCACACCCTGCCCAGTGAGCTCCGCACTTCCACTGCCCCTCTGGGCGCAGGCTCCGTGTTGCGCTCCTGCTTCCATCCAGCTGCAACTCTACCTCCCCCACCAGCCCCATTGCTTCCCTACCTGCTGCCCAGAGGAAGCAGGTTCTGGTTGCAGCAGAAGACTCACCCAGAAGCTGCTGGCTGGGCAGAGCCCCTCTGCCCAAGAGGGTGGGAGCAAGGCCCAACAGGGTATGTTAAAGGGTTGTACACATGGGCACCTTGCTCCCACCCTTGTGGGCAGAAGGGTTGTATGAAGTGCAATTCATTGTGGGGTGCTGCAAGCCAGATGAGGCCAGTGGGATCCGGCCTGCGTTTTGCCCACCCGCAATCTAAACTGTATGTAAAACTATTACCAATCCTGATGCAACACAGACCCAACACCCCAACCTGCCACAGGTAAAGCAGACAGAAGCAAGGCATTCGTCGGCTATGAAAGGTTGTCAATATACGTTCAAGAGATCCTGGGTAGACGGCCATGCCCCCCGCTACAGAGGAAGACAACCCCCCAGTCTGACCATGGGGTAGAATTCCTTCCTGACCTCAGGTACGGTGACTGGTCAGACCCTGAGCAGAGGGGCAAGACCCTCTTGCCAAGAATCTCCACCTTCAGTCCCAGCAGGAGCATGGGCACACCTGAGTCAAAGTCCCAAGCCTTGGCTGTAATGAACACCCAATGCCTCTGGAGAAGGTTTAAACACACCTCACACACGTGAAGAGGAGGAACGGCCCAGAAACACGGGAAATACTTCTAGTCGAACACAGACATAGCTACGCCTACATCATCCCTGACCAGTGGCTGTCCAATCTCTTCTTGAAGACCTGTCCACCTGTTGGCAGCCTATTCCACTGCCTCGCTACTCTAACAGTGACATTTTTCAGGACATCCAATCTAAACTTACTCTGCTGCAACTTCCAACCATTTGTCTGCATCATCCTCTCTCCAGCAAGAGAGAAAAAGGTGCTTTCCCCTCTTCTTCATGGGATCCCTTCAAGTATTTGAAGACTGCCATCGTGTCCCCTCTCAAGCACCTTTTCCACAAGCCAAACACACCTAGCTCCTTCAGCCTCTCCCCGAGACTTAACTTTTATCATCTTTGTCACCCACCTCTGGACCCCCTCTCACTTCTCCGCATCCTTTTTAAAATGTGGAGCCCAGCACTGCATACAGTAGCCCCGGTGAGAACTAGCCAGCGAGGAGCATACACAGATCCACAAGTGTTTAGGGCTGGAAGGGACATTGTGAGAAAGAGTCACCACCACCTCCCGGGGCCTCCCACGCAAGACAGCAGAGCTGATCCGCACGTTTGTGACACAATGGGTTCCTGTTTGGATTCATAGATTGTGAGGCTGGAAGGGACTTCGGGGGAGAATCATCGGGTCTAGCCTCATGCACCAGGCAGGAAAGACAACTGGGATCAAGTGACCCTAGGGAGGTGAGGGTCCAGTCTCCTCTTGAAGATTTCCAGGGTAGGTGATTGCACCACCTCTGGAGGGAGCTTATTCCACTGTCTGGACACCCTGACTGTGAAGAAGTTTTTCATAATGTTGAGACTGAAACAGTCTTCCAGGAATTTATGACCATTACTCCTGGTTTTCCTCTTGGGTGCCCTGGTGAACAGTTGTTCACTGACCCCTTGATGTATGCCCCTGATGTAGCGGCAAGCTGCTACCAAGCCACCTCTCAAGCTGCCGTCAAGTCTCTGGACGCGCCTTGCAAATTGTGCTTGCACACTTCACCACAATAACCTGGGAAGGATTTCATGGCACCCCAGGGAGCCATGGCCCCTTGGTCAAGGACCCGCAGGGCTCCGACAGCCAAGGCCCCCAAGGCTCATGAAGATGCGCCCATCGCTCCACCCATGGTGCCTGGCCACCATCCCCATGTCCTGCACAGATGAGGGCCTCCACGTGTGGCTGAGGACTCCGGGCAGCACTGCACCTGCACACCTGTGGAGCAAGAATCACCAATACACCTACTGACTGGGAAGTACCATTCCAAGTAGCACAGCAGTGGAAAGGGATCTCGGAGTCATAGTCGACACAAAAATGAACATGAGTTGCCAATGGGGCAGGTCATGTCAGACCAACCTGATTGCCTTTTATGATCAGGTCACAAAGGCAATGGATGCAGGTGTCGCCATGGATGTAGTCTTTCTGGACTTCAGCAAGGCCTTTGACACCGTCTCCCACCCCACCCTCATTAAAAAACTAGGCGACTGTGGCATTGATGCCTACACAGTCAGA